GAATGGGGATTTTGCAGTATCCTTCCCCTGCCGCGCCCACCAAGCCACGCCCACAGAACCGATAGTAAAAAAAATTTGAATCCCACCACTGTATATCCTGAGGCCTAACTCAAGCCTATGAAGCCTCTTAGAGGTGCTGAAGTCTAATCTGTGGCAGCTTTCCCAAAGAACCTCTTAGCCCAAAATGTGACTTGCCGTGCAAAGCAGCTGTAATGGTCTTAAGAGGTGTAAGGATGCTAATTGCTCTCAGCTTCCCAATTCCAGTTGTGAGGCTGCCACAGAAAACTTAAGGAGCTCTTACTGAGCTGTGTCTAGTTTGCTGGATTGGCTAACAGTGCCCTCTTGCTTCCTTCCCCCAAAATAAATTAACGTGAAATGAAATAGACTCCGACTTCTTCTGGCAACGTTGCTCAATGGGCTTCTCTAATGAGATGCAGCCTTTATCCCAAAGGTGCTTTTAAAAAAACAACTGGAGTTTTCTTGGTTTTTTTTTCCCCTTGAAAACATTTCACTTTGCATCCAAGGAGCTGCTGATAACAGTTCTATAGAAGAATTATTGAGTCTGTCATCTGCACCTCTGTAACTGGTTTGGTTCTGCAACCCAACAAGACAGGCACAGATTTCAGAGAGTAATTAGGACTGCAGAAAAAACAATTAACTGCCTTCAATTGAGGACCTGTATACTGCATGAGTCAAAAAGAGGGCTGTGAAAATATTTATAGACACCTCACAATCTTGGACATAAACTGTTTCAACTCCTACCCTCAAAACAACACTATAGGGCACTGCACACCAGAACAATTAGACACAAGGACAGTTTTTCCTTCGAACGCCATCACTCGGCTAAACAAATAATTCCCTCAACACTGTCCAACTATTTACAAAATCTGCACTATTATTACTATTAATTTTCTCATCATTCCTTATCACCCATCCCCTCCCACTTGGGCCTGTATGACTGTAACTTTGTCGCTTGTATCCTTACAATTTATATTGACTGTTTCCTAGTATAATTTGATTCCTTATTGTACCTTATGACTATTATTAAGTGTTGTACCTGATGATTCTTGACTCTTGACGAATGTATCTTTTCTTTTATGTACACCGAGACAAATTCCTTGTGTATCCAATCACACTTGGCCAATAAAGAATTCTATTCTATTCTATTCTATTCTATTCTATTCTATTCTATTCTATTCTATTCT